GTGAGAAGTGCTCAGGGTACTTGTTTGTCAGGACACGTTACCAAGTTCTTTCGGGTGTGCTAATACATGCCCAAGGGGGCGTATCGTGATGCTGAGGCCTCCGCCCGAAGGCACTGTGCTCAGGCAAACCCAGCGCCCTGAATTCAGTCCTCGGGCACCCCACTCCAACAGCCAGCCTCCTGCACAAAAGCACTCGGCGTACTCGCCCTGTGGGCTGGGAGTCCACGTCTGTGCCCTGCTCCAGCTTCCGGGTCTGTGCTGCCCCTCAGATGGTTTAGTCTTTTGGATCCAGAAGGTTCACTGCACAGGCATCTCAGGTCCAGTGGACGTGCCCCCCTCCTGGTTCTTGCTAGTACCGAGATCCCTCCTGCTCCTCAGGGGGCTCATTTTATACACAGCAGGATGGCACTGCAGGGAAGCCCGCTCCCCATTGCTCACAGGTGAATCCTGTCCGCATCTTCCTGACCTCCTTACCAGACCCTTGCAGGGAAAAGGTGTCTTTTGGCGGGAGTTGGAGACTTTGGCTGGATGAGCCACATGAAAGAATTCACTGCCCTTGCACATGAATGACAGCAGTTGACAGCTCTCCTTAATGATCCGAATGCTCTGATCCGTGCAGCGAAGGAGGTCCAATTATTAGTCCCATTCACAGTGAGGCCAGGAGGAAACTGAGCGACTGGGTGGTGAAGGCACTTGCCCACCACTCCCGTAATGCCTCAGTCTGACAGCGGACTGTAGGCGCCGTGCTTAGTGGCTTTATTAACAACTGTATGGTAACTTAGGTGGAGGTTTGGGGAGCAGACCATCAGTTTTACGTTTAAGGGCTCATTATCCCCCCACCACCACCCAACTCCAGCTTGTGAGGCCTCTCTCCTTCCTCTCCCTCCCACCCGTGGTAGCCATCAAAGACGTGTTTCTTTGAGTGTGAAAACCCTTCCTTGATTTTCTGGATCAATAGCTAGCCTTTTGTGAGGGGCTCGTTTCAGTCATTTAGACACTGGGAAGTACAGCTGCTCAGTTGTCTGCCACAGCCGTGACCCTGGCAGCTTGGGATGGTCTGAAACAGTCTTTTCTTGGACCTGCTGCTTCTTTTAATAAGCAGCAAGGAGCGCCGAAGGCTCTGTCGGGTGTGCAGGGGACTGCTAACTGCTAGGTTGCCCATTCGAATCCACCCGCCACGGTGCCGGAGAAAGAGGAGGCTGTCGGCTCTTGTGAAGATTTCCAGCCTCAGAAACCCTCTACACGGGGTCACTCTGCATCAGTGAACTTGACGGCACCGGGGTGGGTTTGGTTCATAACACTGGGCCTGATAGGTCGCAAGGCTGTGCCTCTGAGTTAATTTGGAAATATTTCTGTTTTGATCAGCCTAGCTAATTGTGTTTCTCTTCTCTTTTTACAGAGACGTTCAGGAAACATTGGTGGATTATAGCAGCATTCATCGCTGTAGCAGGAGTAGCAATACTTTTAACGTATTATTTTATAACAGGTTTGTAAGCTTTCATACCTCTTTCTCTTCATGCTGATGCTGTGGAGAATACTGGTGGGACACACAGCGATGCAGTCATTTCTGCACGTGTAGTTCCGTGCTGTTAAATATGGCCCTCCTCAGCCCCTTTGTCCGAGCTGCTCCTCCCTCGTGAACCTATGTGATCTTTGTGCAGCCTGTTTTCTAACTTGAATTGGTCTTTCGAAGACCAGGAGATGGGCGGTTTTAAGGTGAGAACAAGTTCCAGACACTTGTAGAAAGACAAGCACCCTGTCTGGGGCTGCGGAGTGTCCCACGTGCCTCCAGAGGTTCTGCGTGTCCTCGTTGGGATAAGGCCACAGAGCGCTGCCGGCCTGGGAACGCAGCAGCCGGCATTGCATGGGCCGTTCTGTGGCCCTCTTCAACGAACGGCCTGTGCTTCTCCAAAGCAGATCTCTCACCCGCCGTCTCCGTAACACCCACGTTTGCCAGCGGCAGGGCCTAGGGGGTTGGTAGGAAGGGTGCGCAGAAGGAAATGAGCTTTTGTTGGGCCGAATGATGTGAAGGGGTCCCTTTCTTGGCTGCTCTTACCTGTGTGTGTCTCCACGGTAAGGTCCCCTGGAAGGCAGCACGCACGCCTGTGAGAGCTCCCAGCCTGCTCTCTGCTGGCCACAAGGAGCCCCTTCTCAAATCCCAAGCAACAGTTTCCGAGCTGGGGATATAAAACATAGGCATTCTTGATGCCCCAACAATCTCCAGATCAGCCTTCTCCCCGAGGAACTGTGCTGGACTCATTTGTCACTACCACGGGCCTGTGAAGGCAGCCTCTTTCTACAAGGTGCCTGGCACCTGAGGCCCGAGTCATTTCACACTAAGGCTTCCCATCCAATTTGTAGACTAGATGCCAGTTTCCCAAGACCTGCTCTCCCTCTTTCTTTTTTTTTAATTAATCATTTTATTGGGTGGAGGGCTCTTACAAATCCTAAGACGATCCATCATTCAATTGTATTAAGCACACTTGTACATATGTTGCTATCAACATTTACGGAACGTTTTCTTCCTACTTGAGCCCTGGACGTCAGCTCCCGTCGCCAGGGTGCTCAAACCAGAGGGAGGTGACACCGAGGTCTATATAAACTCAGATGCATTGACCAGTTAGCCGTACACAACATAATTCAGCTGTCAAAGTTCCCCCAATCTTCATTACTCTTAGCCCTGTAGAACTTGTGGGAGGCTGGGGGGGAGGGGGGGGGGCGGGATTTGTCTCATAAAAATAATTACTTGAGGAAGCACCTCAGGCCTAAATCCACTAATTGGGATGTTTGGCCTGAAGCCCTCAGATGGGGGCAGAGGGGAACATAAAACCGCTCCACCCGACTAGTTGCAATTGACAGCTAACTTCATCCACTACAGCCAACCCCGCCTGGACTGGTAGCATAGCTCTGAGCTAGGGCAGGTACCTTTCATGGGGAGAAAACAGACAGAGGCACCCATGTGCAGGAAAAGAGTCCTTTACTGTCCAAACCTGGGCTTCCAAGATGGTAGCCTCGCTTGAACTGTGGGGAACCCAAACTGAGATGTGTTGTTAAGGGAAAACACACGCACTGGATTTCTAAGACTTAGTATGGAATGTGGGGGATGGGGGGGTGGCATGGAAAATATCTCATTTGGTTTTTTCTTACATTGATTCGTGTTGAAATGATAATATTATGGGTATATGAGGTTACATGAAATATATCATGAAATTAATCTCACCTGTTTCTTTTTTGCTTTTTAATGTGTCCATTCTGTGTTGTGGCTCGCATAACGTGTTT